TTTAATCAAATTCAAATTAAAAAAAGGTAATAGGTTCTTCAATCAATATGAAATTAATTTATAAAATTTCACTTCAATCCGACCATCTTACTTGATAAATGTAAAAACTGTCACTTAATTATATTTATTTATTCAAATTAAAATTGAACTAAGAAAATATACCGATATAGAATATTTTATGTCATTTTATTTATTAATGCATTAACAAAATAAAGTATCCAATCGTTTTGATAATTAATTGTCATTTTTTTTTTCGTTTGTACTGTTGTCAAACCATTTCTCTCTTATGTGATTTGCCTCCATCTTTAAATTGGATTATTTTATTTTTTTTTCATTATTAAAAATCAGAAATCAGAAATGCACAATTTATTTGAATTCAATTAATTGCTTTTCCATTAAGCTTATGCCACTGTAATTAAAAAAAATCATTAAATTGATTTTTTTATATGGTTAATGATTTGAATTATATTATATGTCCAAACACAAAATAATTTAATAAAGCTTTGTCTGGTTTTTTTTTTTTTTTTTTTTTTTTTTTGAATAGTAGATGATGTTTTGATTAAAATAACTAACAATCACAATTCCTAATTCATTCGTTTTTTTTTTATATTTTTTATTTAAATTATGCTGTTAAATTAATTATTATTTTCATTGTTACATTAAATAGAAACAATTTATGAAATAATTTGTTTGCACATAAACGATGTGATACTTAATAAATTAAAAAACAAATCAATCATTTTTTTGTCAGAAAATTGTAATTTTCAATACGGCGATTAATTTTATTTTTTTTTCTCTAAAAGTGAACAAAAAAAAAGAAAAAACTGTGAAAATTGTCCCAAAATCAAAAATTACGATGTAATTATACTAATTAATTTTCTTTTTTTCTATCCTTTTATAAGAATAGAAAAAAGGCATAAAACGAGAGAAAATTTATTGTTTTATATTAATGAATCAATCACATTTCAAGTAGCACTTTTTTGAATCATAGAAAACAAAATTTTTTGCCATTTACTGTCTCTCTTCATTTAAATGTGAACTTTCCATTCTAATGTGTCAATCAATTAAGCCGCGCGCGTTGACTGTATATAATTTTCAATAAATTTCATTTATTAATTATCATATTATTATTATTTATTATATTATTATTTATTATTATCTTTTTATAATTATAATAATTATTGTTATTATTATTAATATTATTATTATTTTAAATATTATTATTTATTATTATTATCATTGTTATCGTTACATTATTATCATATTACTAATTCTTGTATTAATTCTTCTTACTGATTATTATTTTTGGATTACCAACTGATTATTGTGTTTGTCCAACTATTATTTCAACTACTGTTTGTATTTCGATTAACCGATTACTGCTTTTATTCGACACACAATTTATTCATTCATTTTACATCTTTTTCTTTATTTCTTATGTATATTTCTGTGTTATTTAGCTGTAATCTTTTCGATATTTTTCTTTAAATGTTAAATTTCATAATAAAACATTTCTTCTTTTTAGTTTATATTTACGATTTGTCATATTACATCGATGTAAACAATTTATTTTAGACAAAGATATAACAAGTTTTTTTTTTTAAATCCTTTTTCCATTTCTATTTTTGTATTTAAAGAAGAATGAAGTATTGGTAATTACATAATCATTTGTCACCATTTCTTTCTTCCTTTTTTCCTCCCCTTCCTTGTAAATGATAATTATTCTGGTGACAAATTACAAGCAACAAAAAAGACAAAAATTTCTACTCCTTTTCTTTTTATTTTTTCACAAACTAGTGTTAAAAAGAAATTTGTCATTTTAATTTTAATAGATATTATACAATCAACTATCTAATCAAATAATAAAAATAAGAAATATTTATTTTTTCATAATAATTTCTAATACTTCGTTATTAAATTTTTATTTATTATATTTAATATGGAGAGGATTAAACTGAATATAATATTATAAAATGAAATATATAGAATTAAATTTAAATACAATGTATATGTGATAATCTAATTGATAAGAATATTATATAAAAAGCTTTCCTAAAACGAATGCTATTTTTTATATCAACAATGTATTTATGGCTAATTTAGTTTTCTAACATAACTTTTCTAACTACATTCATTCCTTTACTTTTCATTCAAATACAAATGAATGTTATGAGAGAAAGAGAGAGAGAGAGAGAGGGGCAGAGGGAGAGAGACAGAGAGAGGGAGAGAGAGACGAGCAAACTGATTTTCTGGAGAATTCTTAAAAGAAAAGAATAAATCGATAATATAGCATTAGGAATAATCGACATAGCGCATACACAAATACGCGCATAAACCAACACACACATACCAGACATACAACACACATACACACAACACAAACATACATACCCATACACAATTATACAACCCCAAGCCAACCACTTAACCGCGCTAATATTGTCGTCGTTCATTGTTACTATCACTATTACCTTATTATCACTATCACTATCACATTACCATTATTATCACTATTCTATTATTACTATCACTATCGTTATCGCTATCACCCTTATCATCACTATCATCATTATCACATCACTGTTAGTATAAGTCACAGTCATTGTCTTCATCACTGTCATCACTATCATTGTCACGGCCATATCACCATCACTATCACTATGACTTTGACTATGACGGTCACTACCACTATCATCAACATTATCACCATCATTACTGTTACTATCAGCATCACTATCGCTATCACTGCCACTATCACCATCATTTCGCTATTACCACTATCACTATCACTATTATATCTATTATCACCATTACCACACTATCATATCACTATCGTTAACCAAATCATTATCACTTTTCTTTTATCATGAATTACATTCCACCGTATATTTCGCATTTTGACGAAGCTTATTTACGAAATTTAAACTTCGTAATAAATGAATTAATTTTGGTTGTAGAGTTTTGTTATTTATTTATTTCAGTTAGTAATGTATGGATTACTTTACTTTTTTTCAAAAATGTATAGTTTGAATTTAAATTACAGTTCTATTCCCGCTCTTATTTTCAGTTTAAAAAACTAAAAAAAAACCTTTTTTTAGAACAGTGACAAATTACATTTGTATAATTTATGAGACATTCAGTTCGAAAAAAAGAAATTTTGAAATAATGTGATTAAAGCTCCTGAAACAAAGAAGTTTTTGTTATTGAGTTAGTTAACAAATGAATGAATTATTTTACTTTTTCAAAATTTATGCTTAATTAAAATTATTACAGTGGTAATGTTGGTGGTGGTGATGATGATAACAGTGATGATGATAATGATAATGTGGTGATAATGATGATAACGACAGTGATGATGATGATAACAATATGATAATGATGATGATGATAATGATAATGTGGTGATGTTGATGACGATGGTAAAATGATGATAATGATGATGATGATAATGATAATGTGGTGATGTTGATGACGATGATAACAATGAATGACGCTGATGATGATAATGGTGGTAGCAATAATGATGATAATGATGATGGTAATGTGATGAAGGTGATAATGTTGATGAAAGTGATGATAATGCAGTAATATGATGATAACGGTGATAATAATGGTAATCGTGATAACGATGTCGATGATAACAGTGATGATAATGATGACAACGATGACGGTAATAATGAGATGATTAATATATTACTTTAATCTATACTGGAAGATAACTTGTTCCAGAATGAATTAACAATGAATGGATAATATTTGGGAATGTTTTTCCGTCGATTAATATATTGACGTAACGGTCATATGGTTTGCATCATTATCACTAACATCGGGAGGATTATTACGCTGAACAGCATTGATAAGCTTATCAACAATCTTCTGATAAGAAATTACTGATCTCTTTTGATGATTATAATAATTCGTGATGTTTATGTACATTAACGTCTTTGTTTTTATCATATCATCTTCAGTATTGCTCTATTTTTAATTATTTGTCTGTTTATCAGTTAGCTATTCTGCTTATACATTTGTTTGTTTGATTGATTATTTTCTTACTTCATTATTTAGTAATTTAGTTATTTAGTACATTTATTCTTACCGTTGTAGGCATATTAATTTTCCCATTATTTCTTAAATTACCATGCAACTTATTTATTCATTACTATTTGTTCATAAATTTCCATTCATCTACACTTTACCACTTTATTTTTCATGCTGTTCAGTTATTTTATTTTTAATTAGAAATTTATTACATTTTTGACTTATTGAAGAATTTCGTGCAATCCAAGAAAAAAATTCCATTCATTTTTTTCATTTTTATTTCATATTAACCATTTTAATTATAAGGATTTCGGTACATTCATATTATTTGTTCCGTCTCTGTCAATGATTATACTAGTAATTTTCATTTAGGATTTTTCATTTCGATCATTTATAAGCAATGATATTGAATAATGCTGAAATTGGAAGCAGACAGTGATGGAAGAAGACAGAGATGCAACAAAAGTTTGTAATTACGAGAACGACCATTTAATACGAGTTAATGGAATATTATATGATATAGCATTTGCATCAAAACATCCTGGTGGACAAAAGGTTTATTATTATTTTATTTTCTCTTCTTTTCTTTGCTTTCAATTTTAAGATATTTTAAATATAAAAATTCCAATTTTTTTTTTTATTATTTTTAATGATAATTTCATCAAGTAATAAATCATTTTACCTACTGAAATGGTTTAAATAGTTAGCTATGTAAAGCACTGAAAACAGGAATGCTGTATGATGTTATTTAAGACTATGATATTATTATTATTATAAATTCACATCTACTTTAAGATAATGAACTTATAGAATCAAATATTTTAGTAAAATTACTCTGAGTTGCTCGAATAATATATCATACCGAAGCGATATGATATATTCGGTGAAAAAATAATTTTTTATGTTGCTTTCAAACATTTTATCAAAGAAAAATAATCAGGGATAAGTGGGAATATATTGGGAAAAGAGGAAGAGTAGGATTAACATAGTGGTATAATTATAATTTCAGGTATTGATAATAAACATTCTAAAGATTGATAGAATATGTTTATGATATTTATTTTATAAGTGTTTAATTAACATAGTGATACGATTATAATTTCAGGTAATAATAATATATTTCTAAAGATTGATAGAATATATTTATGTAATTCATTCTGTAATATAATGATAGCAATTTTTATGATATTTTTATTTAGGTACTTAAACATTTAGCAGGTGAAAATGTTGATGATATATGAATGGTACTAAGCGTATCCTGGGAAACATACACATTCAGCTGCTGCATATCGAATGCTTCAAAAATATTCCGTTGATAATTGCTATCAGGTTTGTTGTATTTTGATCGTAACTTACTTGTTATATGTTATACTTTTCATACGAAATATTTCAATAAACAATAAATATTTGTTTTCGTAATACTAAATAATTTTTAGATATGTAATTTGATTATTTTCTGTAAATAATCCGTAAATAACGAATAACTTTGTGTTAATATAATAATATCGCAATTTTTTCTTTGTTTCTGTTATGTTCAAATTATAAGCTATAATTGAAAGTATCAACGAAGGATGAGCATTTGTCTTTTACTAATATATAAATGATAATTATTGATGATGAAAATCAAACAAATAGGGAAAACTTGAATAAAAATATATGCCAGATTCGTTTAATGAAGATTTTATCACTGCAGATTATCATTTTAAATTATAATAAGTAGTAACTATTATTTAAAGTTCATTCTGTTGAAAATTTCTATGCCTCTCCCATATTAAAAGAACCTTAAAATTTCACATATTAGAAATTCTGAATCTGATTAATTTTTTCTCGTAATGTTTAACTAGTTTGGTTCGTTTCAAAGATATTCAATCTGAAATTTGAATATTTCTTGATAAGTGGTCACAGTGTGATAATTGTATTTGATGTTTCAAATTCATAATGTTCATTTTTTGAAGGAGACGATGAATTGTTATCTGATAAGCCAATTTAAGTAAAGTTGGCTATTTGGGTGATCGATACTGGACGTGGATCATCAACCATACGATGGAACACTTCGATTATTTGAATCAGATATTTTGGAAAATATGACTAGGACAAGTTGGTGGTGGTACCACTTGTTTGGTTACCTTTGGTGATTATCTTTACACTACGCGCTTTTTCAATGATTTTCCAGGACTATGGTGATTTTTATTGTCAGTCTCAATTATATTTGTTTTTTGAATGTCGACACTTTTTCTTGAATGTTTGTTTAGGTTTTAGTTGTTAAAAAAAAGAAAAAAAAGAAAAACTAATGTTTACATTAAATGAAATTGATGTGAAATATTTTCTTCTATTTACTTTATATAAATAATATTTTATACGAAGATATAACCAGCTCGTGTTTTGATCATGCAACTTTACTCAAGATGAGATTTAAGAAATTTGATGTGCTGGATATATATATAGCTTGATATTATAATTTTTATAAATTTCCGTTTTTTTTTTTTGATCTTATTTCTCTACAGGATTTCTGTACGGCCTCATTATTTGGACGTTCCTTTTACATTAGGTGTTCTTGCATGGACTCTTCTGGAATATCTTCTTCATCGTTTTGCATTTCACTGGAAGCCTAATCCAGAATCATGCGCTCAAATTATTTTGCATTTCCTATTACATGGTTGCATCATAAAGTTAGAGTTTCAATTAGTTCTGGAATTTTTTTTTCGAATTATTTTCATGCGCATTAATTTTCATTCCAATTATTATTTATTTTCCTTTTCTTTCTCCTCTTTTTTTCCTTTTTCTTTTTTGTAAATGTTATTCCCACATACTGTTACAGCAGTGATCGCATTTGAAAATTTTCCTTTAAAATTTTTTATGTATTCCGATGATGCGAAAGTCTTTAAGTACATATACTTTTTGTTTTATTAGTCTTATTAACTCTAACATTTTTCATTGGAGCGATGAATTAATATAAAGTGACAAATAATTCCTAACATTAGGTAAAGAATTTAATGCATTTATAAGCAAACTTTTTCAGACACCAATGGATGGTGATCGTTGGTTTTTCCACCTGTCCGGCAGCTCAATTGTTGCATTTTTTTATTATTTATATACTTCATTACTACCATACGACTTGTTTTGTTGTTTTGGAGCTGGTAAATTGTTTTGGTTATATCATTTACGATTGTTCACATTATTATTTTCATCATGCCGATCCATTACCAGGAACAAATCTACACTTTCGAAAAGTCTATCATAATAATCATCATTTCAAGCATTTCGATTTGGGTATATTTTCTTTCTTAATCTTTGTTGTTTTGTAATCTTTACTTGCTGTCTTTTAATCCGAAAATACTTTTCCTTTTCTTATTAAAAATAATTTTAATTTGATAACATAATTAATTCGACAACATAATTCAATAATGGTCGAACTGAAAAGCAAAATAATCAATATAAAAGAACTCTTGCTTTGATTTAATCTTATATACACTGTAAAAAATAAAACAATTTTCCGAAATCTCATTCCATTTTTTCCATTTAAACTAATAGTATTATCGGGGAAAACTTCATTATTATTATTTTTCTAGCTTTGGTATATCGACTGTTTTATGGGATTATGTTTTTAATACAGTTGGTGCAGGTCCACTATGATCAATTTTCATTATTTCATATTAAAAGTTGAACTTCTATTCATTCGGGTATTATTTTTTTATTTTTTTTTTTTTTAATATGGAAACAAAGTGTTTTCATATTTTGCTTACTATTCATATACATATCTAACTTTATCTCCTGAATCACTGTTCTAATGTAATTAATGTACTGCTTTATAATTAATTAATTACATTAATTTATAGGAAAAAAAGGTTTTTTTTCATTTCTTTGAAATTATCATGTGGATTACATTCTTATTAAATATTCCTGTAAATTATATTAACATGTAATTAATGTGCTATTTTATAACTAAATTGTATGCTAAAATGTGTTATAGCGTTTACTTCGTACCAGTACTACTCGTAAAATAAGTATATAGAGATTTCTTTCATTTAGAATTTGTAACATAAAAACAAAATTTTTGTTTTTTTGAATAGCGAGGAGTAATTTAATAAAAATATTCTCGATCAGTTGTAGTTTACTTTCTTTCCTTTCCTTCTTTTTTTTTTATTAAATTTTTAGAATTTGTATTTCCTGTTTCCATGATTTTCATCCAGTCATTTCGATTTCAATATTACTTTTAATTACTTGGATTTCAATGTCATTTTGATGATATAACTTAATCTATTAAAAGATAGATTTCCATTAAAAAGATTTTTTTTTCCATTGAAAGATAGGTATTTTTATCTATAAATTGATATCTATTAAATAAATGCTCTTTGTTCTGATATTTTATCGAAATAAGTGGAAAATATGTTGTAATACATTGTGCCAAATTGTTCAATAAAGCATATTTTGTTCAAGAATTATCTCAAACATAGCAGTGATAGTGTTGTGATAAAAAAGAATTACATTGCTACTAAAAATTCAATACAATTTCTACCAATTAATATTTAAAGTTATGTTTCTTTTGATTTGTTAGATAAGTTTTAGTTTATTAATGGTAATATATATCGAATAAAATTATATATCGAATAAAAACTTATAATATATATCGAATAAAATTATATTAATCCATAATATAAAAATTTGTCTTAATTGAACATTTATTAAAGAAATACAAGTGTTTCAAATTGCATCTCATGCAAGTAATTATTCTAACACTCACCTTCCTGTTATTAACTGTTTCCATTTTCCTTTTTATTTATTTATTTTCGTTTTCGAAAGTGAATTTTAGTTGTTAAGATCTAAAGGATTCAACAGCTTGACCGGCAAACAAGATTATAGTTATTGATTTGAATTCCAATTTAATGAAGTATTGATCAAAGTCTAATATTCTTTCGAACCTAAAATTTCTTTAGTATGTGGGTAGTTAAAAGTTTTCGATTATTACTCCAGTTTTTTTTTTTGTAAAGCAGTTAGTTTTATTTTTTGAAATGAAGTAAATTATTTTGTGTATGGTCACTTTCTTGTTGTATTACTTTTCCATAAATGAAGTTTTTAGTAGGACACACAAACAACTAATGCAACCACTGAATTAAAACAGTAGATGGTAATGATGCGAGGAATTAAATTACATGAGAACATCGTCCCATATATAATACCCACCACTCTAGATATACAAAACAGGCCAAATGCAGAAGGCTGAAGATGTCCCGTTTCATTCTTATTTCCTCCTTCCACAAGTATTCAGTCTTCCGATGTGAAGGATGTATTTTATAAAGAACGAATTCGTGTGATAGACTCTCCAAATGAAACCTGGAATAAACTCTTGCAAAACCGTAAAGAAAACCGAATGTTCAGAAAGCAACGAAGAATATGACTTCAAGAATGAGAGTAACCGCCAGCGCCAATTTAAAATTCTCATCTTTTGTAGCACAAAGCCCACCGAATAACTTTTAAATTCAAACAAATACAAAACAATGAACTCATCTCACACTACAAAATTACAACCGCTTTAAATCAGTTTAAGATTCCAATAATTGGCCGAAGTTCTCACATTTTTAAATGTTTCAAAATATAAAAAAAATAAAACACGTTTTATCTCCGATTATGATTAAAATCATCGTGCGGTGTTCGTAACGCCGAGATCAACGATCATCATCATAATCTCTATAACGAAGCATGCGATTACGATTATCGCTACAATAACGCCTACCACTATTATTATGAAGCTGTTGTTGTTGTAATCCTCGATTACCATTGCGTTCACGATCTCGATTACGTCCATCTGGATCCCGCAAACCCCACGACCAATGCCAATGCCTCATCACAAACAACGTGTAAATTCATAGTTTGCTGTTGCTGAGATAAATATTATTCACTGGTTTTTATGAAAGCTTGAAAATTTATAAAACGAGTTTAAATGCCAATTCGAAAAAAATTTTTCTCTTTTTTTATCAAAAGCCCAGATGTTTTACAAATTTAACAGAACTATAAAATCCAACCTTAAAATTATCGGCAGTTTTTGATCGAAGGTTCTGAATAACACTATCCATTTTAAGATCGAGAGAGGTTTGCATTGCTTCCTGTTTTCATTGATCAAAGATTCTAGCTTCAGAAACAGTCTCTCATCACAAGACAATGCATAATCGTCAACTATATCGCCAAAAGAGCAATAAGTGATTCCACTATTCTGTAGCATATAGTGAGAACCATTTCATCACTTAATTGGTTCAAAAATTTAATGCTTCGATGTGAAAAAAAAAAAAAATTGAAAAAAGCGAGCTGACAACCCGTTCACCTTCAATTTATAGAAATAATTAATCATAATAATCATTTTCAGCAACTGATCGCAGCGAAGAATTAATAAATATGCATGAATTATTTAAAAGAGATTTTTGAACTATGGATTACTAGGGAGAGGGAAAGACAAGGAGAAGAGAGAGGAAATGAAATCTCAGTATGAATGATTTGAAATAGTAATACTTACGTAACTGCCACATTTCGCATTTCGGCATCTGTTCGATCTCTTTCCTCTTTCAACCGTTTTTCGAAAATTTCCGCTTGTTTTTCAAAATTTAGATTCAGACTTTCCCTGTGGCAATGTAAAGCATCCAAACGATCCAGATTTCCCGATTTCTGCTGTCTTTTATCACCATTTGCTACACTGTTTCTGAAATAAATAACCTTGAAGAGTTTTTTCTACAGATTCTATATGATCACGAATTGCACAAAAACATGAAGATCAGATTGAAAGGAAGCCAACATAGTTGATCGAACGAAAAGACCATTGTAATACATCTGCTTATGATTCATTGAGAAGAGAACTATTAGCTCAAGAATAAAGTTGCAAAAATTCATTACAACTCAAAATTACAAAAAGAAACCCATCATCTTCAACATCTAAATTTAAAAGTTGAAATTATTTGCTCGTCGTTGTTTTCATCACCACTTCCAGGAGAGAGAGTGGAGAAGAGAGGAGGGAGAGAAGGGAAAGAGAGAGAAAGAGGAGGAAGAGGGAGAGATAGAGGGGAAAGAGGCGAGAGAGGAAGAGGACGTAGGACGGAGAGAGGACAGGAGGGAGGAAGGGGAGAAGAGGGAGAGGCGGGAGAGGAGGGATAGAGAGGACAGGAGAGAGGGAGAGAGGAGAAGAGGAAAAGGAGAAAGAGAGGATAGGAGGGAGGAAGGAGAGAAAAGGGAGAGGCGGGAGAGGAGGGATAGAGAAGACAGGAGAGAGAGGAGAAGAGGAAAAGGAGGAAGAGAGGATAGGAGGGAAAAAGGAGAGAAGAAAGGGGGGAGAAGAGGAAGAAGGAGGGATGGAGAGGACAACAGGAGGGAGTTAGGGAAGAGGAGGGAGAAAAAGGGAGAGAGGAGAGATGGTGAGGAGAAGAGGGAAGAAGAGGGAGAGGGAGAAAAAGAAGTTAGAGAAGAGGAGGGAGAGAGAGGGGGAGAGCAGGTATAGAAAGGACAAGGGAGAGAGGACAAGAGGTTAGAGAGGATGGGAGGGAGAAAGAGGGAGAGAGCAGAGATGGAGAGGAGAAGAGGGAAGAGGAAGGAGAGGGGAGCGATTGAGAATACAGGAGAGAGAGAAGAAGAGGGAAAGGGGAGAGGAAGAAGTTAGAGAAGAGAAAGGAGAAAGAGGGAGAGAGCAGAGATAGAAAGGACAGGGGAGAGAGGACAAGAGGTGAGAGAGGAAAGGAGGGAGTTAAAGAAGAGGAGGGAGAAAAAGGAAGAGAGGAGAGATGGAGAGGATAGGAGAGGAGAAGAAAGAGAGGGGAGAGAAGAGAGGGGAATAAAAGGGCGACGTAGGAGAGAAAGGAGGGAAGGGAGAGAGGATAAGAGGCAGAGAGAGAAGAGTTGGGAGGGAAGAAAGAGGAAGAAGAGGCGAGAGAGAGAAGACAGGAAAGAGGAAGGGGAGGGATAGAGAGGGCAGGAGAGAAAAAGGAAGGGAAAGAGGGAGGGAGGGATAGAGAGGGCAGAAGGGAAGAAAAGAGGGAAAGAGGGAGGGAGGGATAGAGAGGGCAGAAGAGAAGAAAGGAGGGGAAGAGGAAGAGGAGGGAGAAAAAGGGAGAGAGGAGAGATGGAGAAGACAGGAGAGAAGAGGTGAGAGAGGAGAGGAGGGAGAGAAAACAGGAGGCAGGGGCAGGGATGGAGAGGACAGGAGGGAGAAAAGAAGGGAGAGAGAGGAGGGTGGGGAGAAAGAGGAGGGAGAGAGAAAGGGGGAGAAGTGGGAGAGGAGAGGAGGAGGGAAGGGGAGAAGGAGAGGAGAGCGGAAAACTCAGCTCACCGTTCTCCAGGGGAATACTGGCAACAAACAGTGACCGATATCAAAAACTGATCAGATCAAAAATCCAGAACCTTCTATGACTTACTTCCCGCTTTGCAGGTAGAAGAACATAACTACACAAATATCGATCAGTCTAGAACAGGAACAAATTTGGACGAAATAAACAGATGCTGAGTTTATTACTGAAGATCATTCCATCTACAAACTATGATAAGAAAAAGAAAAAGTTTATTACTGAAGATCATTCCATCTACAAACTGTTTATTACTGAAGATCATTCCATCTACAAACTATGATAAGAAAAAGAAAAAGTTTATTACTGAAGATCATT